GAATTGTGTACGATTGGCCGTAGTACAGGGTCGTTGTAATCATAAATTTCTCTACCATGGTAATCCGGCTGTTCTCTCTACACGGTTCTCTAATCGAGCCAAGACGAGCTCGCCACTAAACTCGCCTCTAATACTCTCGACGAGTTAATACTATTGCCTCTCGATAATAGCCTCCAAAGAACTCGATCAACCTTTCCACCCGATGTAACAGTTTCCACGCTGTTTTCAAAAAACAATTCTCTCCTTCCTACAATGCTTTTCTCCCTCCTACGTTCGCGGTAAAAAATATACAAAAAGTGACGAACTATTTTGGCCAAATTTTGCGAAACCATTCGCCTCGCCAAGAATCCAATATCGAATCGAGAATATTATTAAATCAAAGTATCACGTAATAATCAACAACGGGGCTTTCTTTCAATTCCAACATCTTTTATCGATAAAAAATTTCAAAGACTTTCCAATATCGATTCAACCGGCCACGATCGCGCATACCGAATGCGTTTTTCACCGCGACTCGGAACGTCCTCGATGTTAAATTCAACATTGGATTTTCCGCGCTGCGAATGCACGCACGTAAATTACGCGAAGGCACGCGGTCCTCAATAAGCGCGTCTCTCCACTCGATCGCGAGGATTTTCTCCCGGAACGATCGCCGCGCTCGTTATCTCTTTTCGACGTTCTCCTTTCCGTGCCCTCCTCGTCATTCACGTGTTCTCTTCTTAAATTCTACCTCTCTATACTGGCAAGCTACCATGTACGTATATATATATATATATATATATATACGTTTTTACGTGTGTGTGTATATATATATATGTGTATACTATATATTATACGTTCCTCTTATTGTTCATACGCCAACAATGACTACTTCGAATAAATTAATTTTAAGGCTACGTTGTTCCTCTTATCTCGTATATTATTACCTTAACCACTATCATAACGAACTATCATCGAATATACGTTGAATATTGAATTATGAATGTACATCGAAATCCGTCTTACCTTAAAACGATCTTTATAATAATGGTTCGATCTTATCGCGACGGATACGAATAATAACTTATTATATAACGTACCTATTGTATTTAATTATAATTACATTTTTTTTTAACGTAACGACGGGAGAAATGTTATCTACAAGATGCAATGGAGAGACGAAAGATGGGACGTAACAGCATTGACGACGACGACGACGAGTTGTCGAGAATTCTCTATGCAATTGATCTTTGAACGCTTGAATCGATCCAGATATAACGCGAAAATAACACGACGGCCTAGTTCGTTGCTGCACGACGATTCATTGGGCAGAATGGAAATTTTACAATTGTCGTCGGCTCGTTACGCCGCTTCGTTCGCCACCGATTATACACAGCAAGGGATTTATAACAAAGTTAATGCTCGTTAATGCGCTAATTACACGGTGCCGTTCACACGCTCGCATCGACACGCAATTACTCGCACGCATGCTACGACACGCACGCTAATGTGGACGCGAATGTTGTGACAAGGTATCGGCGATTTCTCAAAAAAAAAAAGACGAAACTTGAACAACTTGGCGTTCCACTCCGCATCCATACAACAAGAGAAAAAGGAACTAATAATGATTTTAGAGAAACTGTCCGTCCCTCCGCGAAGATCCATCGTTTCGACGACAAAGCGCAAAGTGATTACTATGTCGAGGAAAATGAAAGAATTCCTTCGATTCGGGACGAAGTTCGTATTTGGAAAACATTCGAGTATCTTCGCGGAGAGTTGGGATAGTTTAACGTGAGCGAAGGGTACATGAGGCTCAGTCTCTTGAATGCACCTGAAGAAACAATGACGATGATTACTCTACTCTCGTTCACGTGTCGAGAAACTACGCGAACGTGTGGTCTAAAGAATAGCAAACTCGAGTGCGAGGTACCTAACTCTACGTGAGACGGTTTTTATGCGGTGCGTTCTATCGCACCCGGCGATTTCCCATGACATTCGTATTGCTTTTATTACGTACGAAAAATAATAACGCAAAAGAATTATATATATATATATATATATATATTGATGTTCTGGAAAAGATTAAAAAAAGAAAGAAAAGTCGATTTATAAGTCGTTTCATAGATTAATAAAATAGAATAGAATGTACAACTATTTAATTAGAAAGAAATAAGCTAGATCCGCCAACTTAAACTCTAAATATTCGAGTAAAAAGTTTAAAAGGTAATATAAATAACATTATTGTTAGATGAATTTATTCAGATTCGAAGCTCTATCGTATCGTGAATCGTGAATCGCTTTGCTTACTTTGTACAGCATACGAGTGTAATTAATTAATTCATGATACAAGATTGAATGAATCTGTGGAGGAATGTCATCGGAAGTTACGCCGGAAATCGCGTGGAGAAATAGCAATCTCGCGTTGTGAACACGCGATGAGAGGACGCCTTCGTCGACGGTCCCCGCTTGTTTCTCCATTGTATACAATTCGGCACGTTGAACACCATGTTTGGAAGGCATTTCAGAAGGCATTGAATTCCTAATGTGTATTGTCACGAGTTGTCGTCCATTATGCCCTGACCTACCTACGTGTGACTTCGTGAAAGCTGTGTGACTAATCCGTACTAGGAAAAAAAAAAAAAACAAAAAGAAAGAAGAAAAAAAAGAAATCCTCGTTGGTTCAATCACTTTTAAATTTAATCGATAATAATTTTCCTCTCTTTCAACTCGTTTCTCTATCCCCGTAAGTAAGTAAGTATCATCTATATAAAATCACGTTCATGCGGTATCAAAGTATAAAAAAAGAATATATATCGTTTGTTCTACAACAACGACAGTGTAGCAGTGTAAACGTTTATCAAAATTTTCCGCAACTCGATTTGGAAAAAATCCTTGGTTGCTTCGAGTCTTCTCGTTGAAAAATTGAATTCTGGCAGTGAGGATACTTTCTTTCGAGTTCCTCTCGTAAATTCCTTCATAGTCCGTTGTCGAGATCACTATGATCCAATTCAAACAGATTAACAAACTCAGTTACAGATCCTATCTCTGAACGTCTTTGGATATATAATAAAAAAAAAAAAAAAACAAATTTTTTGAAGAGTTTGATCAGGATTTGATAGAGAGAATGACGTGCGACCGAAACGAACGACGCAATAAGAGCCCGAATTAAACGCGTTAAATGGTAGCTGGTAACAGGCCACGGTGCCAATGCAAATTTATGCTAAAGGAAATTGAAGAGCGATCGCTCGTGGCTCCAGGCACGCTCGATGAATAACGAAGCGGGGGCGAGCCTTACAAGAAAGTACGGAATTCATCGTTCGTCCTTTCTCGACACACCGTGGTTGCAAACACGGGTCAAGGCCATCCACCGTTCGACTCGCGCCCATCGTTCGCGTACATCGAAATTTTCAATTATCTCTCTCTCGATCGTGCATCGTTAAATTTGTGTAAAAATCATCGCACTTTTGCATATCGAAATCGAAACAACCGGGCCATGGCGCGAAAATGCCACGTAAGTCGTCGCGTAAAAGCGAAGGAAAGCAAAGTCGACGAGAGAGCGATATCGAATCTCGATCACGAGGGATATATTAATATCGATGATCCCTTATTGTATGCGAGGGGAACAAAAATTCGACCGATAATCTCGCGGTCGATCTCGTTGCACTTGCCTGGCGCCACTTATTAATATCGAAACACACGCGTCTCGTATCGGCCACACATCATCTCGTTAACATCTTCGTTCGTCGAAGTAATCGGTTGATTGTAACATACGTCTATGATAAATCGTTCTCGTTTCACTTTACAGCCTTTTTTCGCATTGCCTTTTCTCCATTGAAAGATGAATATTGGCCGATTATCAATATATGTGCGAACGATCGTATATATACGTATCGTGCTTGATATTTTTCAATTGAAAAAACAAGGAGACGTATATTGCTACGTTTCCACATCAATAATACGTAAAAAAAAAAAAAAGAAAACGAATATCGATCGATAATCGACCAATTCATTTCATCTTTAATCGGACGATAACAACGTGAAAAGTCTGTTGTGCAATAATCGTGGACAACGGACTCTCGCGTCAGAGAGGGTCATCTTCAGAACAAAGTGCGGAGAAGACGAACTCAAACCCACAAATCGACAGGATCTGACGCGAGCCAAAAGGTGGGGGCGTGAAGTGGCGAGGAGCGTGGCCCTCCCCCGAGAGGTAACTCGAACCAGGACGGGTCTTCTCTATGAATATTTGTTTTCTCCGCCTTGTTTTCTCCATTGTGCTGCTCCCTGTCGCGACAATGAACTATTCAAAGTGGCAGTGCTCGCGCGTTATGGCCGCTTTCCATCGCCAGGCCCACGACACCGACGCGCTGTTCTTCGCCGCGATCCTTCTCTATCGCCGAGGTTGACGACCTCCTCGAGGAGGAATGAGGAGGAGGGGGAGGGAAGAGAGGAGAGAAGAAGTTTAAGAACGCGAAAGGAACCTACAGGGCCTACTTCGCGGCCAGACAATCCTCGTGGAACGGCTGTCGAGAGGAAGTCCCTTTCAAGTTCAAGGTCTCGAGGTCGTCGAACCACCAACTTCTGTCCCCTATCAAACTGACCTTAAGGAGGAATCGTCCGGTATGGATTATGGTTTCTAAACGCTTCTTTAAATAATAACGCGACACATCCGTTGTAACATTCGTTCGTTGTTGAAAATTATTATTTAAAAGAAGCGGAAAAATTTAAGGAAAATTCTTTTGAGTAAATTAAACGATCCTCCTCCGTTTTTTATATATCGCGACGACTTTATACATCCGAATCTATTCGATGAATTCCGCTTCTTGGTAGCGATCTATCAATGGGACGTTTCGCAACGCTTCGTATACAATGTTCTTCCGCTCGATCAACTTCCGCGTTCTGTTTAACGTGTTTCGAGGGATCGCCAACCTTCTCCCCTCGTTTCGGGCAGGCGCCACTCGCTTCCTGTCCACCGGGAATTCCGCGTTTCTGGGTTGAAAACGCGTTGCTGATCGACGGTGGCCAGGATCGGGCGAGCGATCTCGAGCGAGGAAGTCGCTTAGCAGATGGTTTCCAGCGGAGCGGTCTTCGTGCTCGGATTCTGAATGACGCTGTCGCCCATGCTGGGCATCCCGTGACTGGTCGTGCTCAGTCCGTTTCCCTGCCTTCCAGCGTTGGCCCTCGGGTTCCTGTTGCAGATCCTCTTCAACGCGGCGCGGACCTGGGGCTGGCAGCCAACCACCGCGAAGATTAGCACGCCCTGGAACGCGTTTATCATGTCGGTGAAGTACCAGATGTATTGAGGGCCACCGACCGCCCACGAGACCACGTCGGCCACCCAGGTGACGCCCATCACAACCACCAGCTTCATGCACACGCGGCCTAATGCGGCTCTGGAAACAGAAACATCAGGGTCTTGGTCATTCGAAGACGAGAGGATGAATCGTATCCACGGATTGTGATCTATCGAGGAGGAGGGTCTATCTATAAGCTTTGACCAGGTCTGTCGATGATAAGTTAATTGCGAGAGGATACGGGTTGCTCGCCTCGAGGCTTCAAAATCCAACAGTGAAAGGAATTTTTTCGAGATTTATACCAGGTCATTGTCGCCACGAATTGAAAGGAAGGCAGCGGGATTCAGGGGGATCTGATGGGGGACACTTTTAACAAAATTCTATTTATCTCTCCACGCGCAATTTTTTGAGAAAGGAGCTTTATGTTATTTTTCACGTTTTACAAAGAACGTTTCTCGATATGCCAACGCCACAGGTACCACCATCACCACCACGAATTTCCAGCGACAAAAAGCGACCCGATTCAATTAGCGCGGTGTTCAATTACGACGGGCATAAATCAGGCCGCAAACGTATCCGTTTGTTCGGCGTGACACACGTTGCACGGTAATGTATGCATCGCATTGTGACCAAAGTCAAAGCATTATTAATTCGTTCCGGCTGAGCATTCGCAGCGGGTTACATTAGTGTCGGGTCGCGAAATTATAGTGTTATTATTGTGCAAAGGTCGTCCAGTCCTCTTTTCCTTGATCGTGATTCGTTTTGAACGCGGATGCTCTTTCTTTTTTTTTTTTACCAAATTTTTATATTCTCGTACAGTGCCGAGAATAGGAGAAATTTCGATCCAAGAAATAATAATGAAGTTTTAAAGCAAGGAATCTGAAATGTTATTGATTCTTTTTTCTTTTTTTTTACAATCGACTCGATTAACAAAATCGGTTTTCACGCGACAAGTGGAACTTTCTCACCAGTTTTCCTTCGCTCACCTCTCCGCTCTTACGTCGCGGTTGGTCGCCGCGTTATTTTTGGCCCACCACCGGTTGGAAGCCGCGCATGTTCGCATGTTACCCGCTCGTAACAATTAGACGACGCAGCGAAAATAGAAGATCTCTGTATCCAGCTATTACGGGGAAACCACGCGGCCGTGTTGCGCGTATACGCGTATATCGCGATAATTACGGTTTAGTACGCGGTTAAAATAAAAAAAAAAAAAAAAAGAAAAAGGAAAAACAAGCACAACGTTTTATGCAACATTGATTATCCAACAGATGATTACATTACACACGCGGCATCTTGCTTGAAATCGATTAGTTTTTTTAATGGTTTAAGAGAGAATAAATCTAATAGCATCGTTTATAGATTTTATAATTAAATTTATCCTTCGCGACAAAATGATTCATTCCCAATCTTATTTGAAATTGATTGATTGTTCGCACTTGGGTAAGTAATCGAGTTAGAGGATAAACTTCATAAATTCGATTATTATCGATAAATTAAATTTATCCTTCATAAATTAGATGTATCGTCGAATACGAACTCGTTTCTAAAAAATTATTCGTCTAGCATCTTGTTCGAAATCGATTAGCTTTTCGTAGCTTTTAATTTCTTTCTACTACTTTTTTTTTTCTTTCAATCGAATCAAAATCTCAACGAAACGCGCTATTTTAACCGCGCCACGAGAATAAACAAATTAAACGCAAACGCAAAATATTTTAGAGAAAATACTTTGGATCACAAATCCTACAACAAGCGCAAAATTATTCATCTTCGAAATTACAAATACAACGGTGGACAGTTGACAACGGTACTGGGAGGCTAATGGAAATATCGCGGGGATTTCGTCATCAATGATGCAAGGCTTTTATTATCGATCCACCGTTATGCCGCCGGTCTGCAGCTCTGTCGAATATTATTCGGTTTGAAAATTTTATCGGTTCTGGTACGGTTAAAAAATTCAACAGGCCGCGCATCGATGCCACCGAATCCGAAACAGCAGAAAAATCCAGAAGAGGGTGTTGTTCCGCGCATCGACGGGCGTGGAGAATTCCGCCGGTTAATCATATCCATGGAAAGCGAATTAGACGCGCGATCACGAAGGCAGAATGTGAACTCGCGCGTGCAGGATGAGGCCTCCTCCTCCTCCTCCTCCTTTCTTGTTGCTTCGTGGAGGGGACGAGGAAACGCGTGATAAGCATGAGACCCGTCCAACCAAGGAATGCAAACAAACGGTCGATCACCTGTATGAGAACAGCTGCGGCTAGAGAATCGCCAACCAACGGCGAAAGAGAGAAAAATATTCGCTCGATCGAACGGCGTGAAATCGATTTTGTACGCGAAACAACGACGTTGGACGGTTAATGGCCGAATTTTAATCAGGAAAGAAAAGAAACATGTACGAGATCGTGAAAGATGACTGCGTGTTATGTAAATCGCGTAGAAAAAGCGTATACTTGTCCTCGATTTAAAAATTTCTTTAAAATTATATATCGATAAATGCCTATTTCGTAAAAAATGCCTATTCGTTCCTGTGAATCATAAAATATGTTCAAATGGATAAATAACAGCAAGCAATTGTTTACTTCGAATCTTTGTCTTATTTTTAACAAAGGATTCGCCTAGGAAGCGATCAGAGGGATTAAATCATATCATTTGCTTTTTGTGAAACATCGAACATCGAATGAAAAAAAAAAATAATAATTTTTATTTGTATCACAAACGATTCGTACAACCAGAATCCCAAATACACGATTTTATAATACAATTCTCTCTTTTATTTCTCTTTCATGGGGACTCGAACGCTTCCTGTTTACGATATTCCTGATTTACTATCTATTTGGATGTTGGACAAAGTAAACAGTTTAAAGTTTATACATCACTTGTAACTTACTGCTCGTTATATTTAGAGAAATCGCAACGATCGGTCCTGGCAAACTTCTAAGAAAATTTCACGACAGAGAGAGAGCGAATCGAGAAGAAAAAATTTTTCGAGAAAAAAGATCGAAAGCGCCAGGATGATGGATCCGCGCACGACGACAGCGAACAAGGAGGAGAGGAGAAGAGGCGAGGAAAGAGCGAGGCAAAGTATTATTCGAACGGCCCGGTTCGTAATTTTGTTCGACGCTTCAAATTAATTAATGCCACTCGCCGCGTTTCGAAAGGAGGCAGAATCGCAGGATCTACCGACGTGTTAATTGACGTAACGAGACAGAGGGGATGGATATGGATTGTTAGCGTTGTCTGTCTCAGGCTGAAAATATCGACAGCATTAATAACAAAAAAAGAAAAAAAAGTGGGAAAGAACACGAAAGAAAGGAAAATAGCGATGCTTCGATCGCTCGTTACAAACGAGGTTTAACGAGAAACGTTCCGTCTCGACGTTTTATTATCATCACCGATGTTCTTTATTATAATTATCGCGGAATAATGAAGAAGAAAGAGGAAACACGTTCAATCCGCGATTGCAATTTGCGAGAAAATTTTCTGGTTGCGTGGAAAACATCGGAATTGAGTCTGCTTTGACGGATTCGAACGGATCGAACGCGATTATAATATATATATACTTCCCAATACTCGTTTTCTACGAGTTTCAAGAATTCTTAGATCGATGTAAAACAATGTGGACATTTGTCACACGTAAATCGTCATCGTCGTGCTACCAGAATCGAAAATCGTACGTTTTAATGTTAAGAATTAATCACATCGTGGACAAAAGTAGAAGTGGTAAGCAAAAATATGACTTTTTAGAAGCGACTCAGCTATCTTCGAAGGGAGAGAAATCGTAGGACAAGAGGAAAATCATAAAGTAAAATCATTTATGTTATATTCTGGAAGGAATTAGTGGTGAAAAGTGAAGCAATATACCAAGAACCGGAGAACGGCTTCCGCTTTCTCTAAAAGCTGACAAAAACGTAAGTCTCTGCTTTAGGGATCCCACGTCCCTTACGATGTGAAGACGAATTCGAGAAAGAGAAATAATTCGATGAGAGATGAAAGAGGAAGGGGAACGAAGGAGGAACGTAAAATGCAATCATGGCGACCGCATCTGTCCTGGCTGACGGTTATAGCGCGTGTTTTATCACGTTTATTCAACCGGTAACCTCGTCGCTGCTGGGTCGAGCATAATTCAAAAGGGATTCCTTCTTTTCTTCTTCTTGCGCCCCCTTTGAGCGGCGCGATACTGCACCACCGCCGAACTTTATTTGCGAGGCGTTTATTTTGGCAGTGACGCCCAGTTTTAAATCGCGAACAGATAGGCCACAGGCGACGCCGACCATTCACTGAACGTTTCTTGAATGAACGAATTTTCTTTTTTCAATCATCTTTTTCGTTTTTTTTTTTTTTTCTTGCAGTTTGGAAGATTACTCCAAGAGTCGGTGTTAATATTGCAATGCAATACTATATTTCTGAATTTTTGCGTTTTATCTTTTTCAGAAGATAAATTCGTTTTTTTACTTTAATACGTTCTTTTTTGTTTATATTCAATGAAATATTTTACGCGATAACAATCGGAGCTTTCTTCTTCTTCTTTTTCTTTTCATTTTTATGCGCTCTTAAAAAAATTTTATCGTTCAATTTTATTGGAACATATTGTTAGAAAATGATCGTAGAGAGAGTTTAGATGAAATGGGTATTTGTGTATCTATTTCTATTCGAGTTTCTATTCTCATTTTCTCGCGAAGAATACTATTTTTTAAATACACCGCTATAAAGTTTGCTTCAGCATAGATCCGTGCATTAACCTTGACAGAGATCACAGGCGTTTCTATTTTTACGTCCGATATTTATTTTCGTACTCTAAAAAAAGTTTTCGTTTGCTCGTTTTCTATTGCATCCTGTACATCCGAGAGAATCCATCGAAATTCGTCTTTTATTCGAATCAAAAAACGAAAGATCGTTCATCATAAACGAGCCTCGCGTCCCTGTTTTATTAAAAATTAAAGTTTCAAAAATTAGAGTTTCATTTTCTCGAGCGAGACATTTTTCGAAACGACAATCCCTCGAACGTTACACGGAAATATCGCACCAACAAAATCCACAAATACCTTTCAACGATATTTCCATTCATACTTCGACCGAATAATCCTCCAAAAAAGAAAAATCAGCTTGTTATTCAATTTATTCGCCTCCACCACCAAAAAGTAACCTCTCATCGATCGATAACTTTTTCGCACTTAAAAAATTCTCTAGAATTCTCTGGATCAAACGTGGAATCGTACGATGGATGGGAGGGATAAACCATAGCTCTTTCACCCCTCGCAACATCGAACAGGCGAGTTTCGAATATTTCGAATTATGCGTAATGGGTGGCGGACGAAAAAGAGCATCACGCTTCTCGAAAATTACGGATAGAGTGTGGACACACAGAGAGAGAAAGAGAGAGAGAGAGATGAAATAAAGAAAATGGAACGCGAGAGAATCTCTATCCGCCATTATGGTCGGCGCGTGTCCCTCTGTCTGCCTCCGCAGACAGGGATCGAAAAGGGGGAGAGGGGGCGAGGCATGACCGAAAGAGAATCGCAAATTGAGATCGTCAATATCAATTTCGACGGGACGAGGGAGCAAAGGTGGTTCGAAGGGACCGGCGTACGAATGGAAAATAACGATTCGATGCCTGATATCTGTCGGCGCGGCCGTGTGATAAAATAAATTCTCCTTTGAGCCCCCTGTGGAAAAAGAGTCATCGGTTGGCCAGGTATAAATATCCGAAAAAAAGAAAAACAAAATGTGGTTCGTCAAACGTGGTTGGTCGCCTGTATCAAAAAGGCAAGGACAGGAAACGTGATATTTTCACGTCCGGTCGGCCATTTCCCTCGAAGAATCGAGAGGTTTATCTGTTTCCCATCCGTTCTTCGAAACTCTTCTCTGAAACTCACCCATCCGTTTTCGTGATTATGTTATACAGCATCAAAACGATAATATTTGTTTGTGCACAGTTGTATATCGATGTTTATATTCGTGCTTAAAAGAAATTGACTCCGATTCTTCCTTCACGTCTTCCTTCTTTTTATCAGTGAACACGATTTCATCTAAGGAAACTGGCCGATTCCCAATAAAACAACTCGTTCATTTCCTTCGAATTCCAATCGAAAGTGGAAGCGCTCGTAAATATCCATTCCGTCGAAATGAAACATCTTTGCGAGATTTCGAGAAAGAATCCTATTTATCATCTTATTATTCTATCACCTAACCGACTTCTTATGCGTATCCACTCCAAACCCTATCGTATTCCTAAAACTTCCTACATCTCATTCAACTTGCAACTCATCATACTTTTCACTTTTTCAAATGCTCGACTTCTGTGAAAAATTTAACATGAAATATCTGAAACCTCGCGTCGAGAGCATTTCGCTGATCGCGGTTCCAAAGAAGCCAGTTATCCTTGATCTTTATCGAGTCGAACCTCTGTCCTTCGCGCCGAAATAAAGCAACCATCCCACGACCAATAAAAAGCCTGTTTCTCTACCGCCTGTTCCTGCTTAATCGTTCCCCTGTATCGCCCCGTCCGCCGTGCAAACAAACTTCTCTGACCTCGCATCCAGGCTTTTAAACTTCTCGAAGTTTAGCACCGCGCTAATAAAATCGTTGTTCAATTTTTCAGAGGCGATTTATTAACCGAGGATCTCGCGTCGTCTAAAAAAGACAGCATTTGTTCGAAGATCAGAGATATAATTCAGGGTTGGCTATCTCTCGAATTTAAAGCAACCGAGGAAACTTTTAGCGTTTTGGTATCAAACGCGATCTAGATCTTCCGTAAACGCATCGCGGGCTAATGGCGAGAAACTCGGAGGAACTGAAAATAACCTGGACGTATCCGGGTCTTGCGCGTGCGTAGCGATGGGCTCGAGCTCGTTGCAAGCCCGAATTTAATTGGAAAATCGTTCCTTGCAATAACTTTGACGATGCCAACTTCGTTGCTGTCGATCTCTACATGCCATCTTATCCAAAGCCGTGTCAGTTAAAAAGACGAGAAGATTGACAAATTCTAAAATGTTAAATAGACGTATGAAGAAAGAAGTAAAATGCAAATGCTTGGATTGGATAGTCACAGATCGAACACGAATCAGCGAATAAATCTTAAATCAAATCTGAACCGATTTTTGTCTCGAAGTTTTACGAATTGATCCTATCATCGATGATATGGAAGGAAACTTTCCACGACGATGCTCTCGATTTCGAAAACTGTGAGATCCTTGATTCTTTTTCTTCTTCTTCTTTTTTCCTTTTTTTTTTTTTTTAAAAAAGGAAAGATAAAAATTTGGAAACATTCGTGGAAAAAAAAATTCGCCAAATATTTATACGCGAAAAGAAGACCGCGTGGCTGTTCGCGAGAAACAGAATACGTTTACGAATTCGGCCGGAAAGCTTTCGAGTAAATATTTCTTTTTCCCTTGTGGATACGGTTGGGAACAGTCATATCCGTCGGTGTACAGCAACACCGGCCGGAACTTTGGAGGAACCAGGAGGAGCGGAGTAAATCACGGGATCGAAATTTAATTTAGAGGTGGTGAAGATTCACGGAGACGGTCGTACGTCCTCGATCGATCAATTCACTTACCGTTCCGTGGTGCTTTTCACGAATTCGCCTTTCCATAGACCGCACGTTAGCTCACGGGCGGTTGCAGCGAAAAACAGAAGATTGACAGCGAGCAAGAAGCCGATGGGGCCGAAGAAGTATGCCAAGATCGCCATGTCATCTGGAAAATATATTTTTCCCTCGTTTAAAAGTTTTTCTCCTTCGATGATTTTTAATATCCGTTGCTAAAAATAAATAAACACGATGATATTAATTAAGAATGGATTGGATGCAAATTATACTGGTATCCAGAAAACTTTAATCAAAGAATTGAAAAAAAAAAAATATATATTATAATCGTATATATTTAAACTTCTCGTCTCATCGGTTACTACCAAAGATATAAAAATCCTTTCATCGAAATATTAATATTCGTGGAGATGGAAGTCGAATTATATTATTTTATTACAGATTTAAACAAATTCTGGTCGCTTTGGTATATAATAAAACGATAAATTCCATTCATCTATCTAAAATTCGCCGGATATTATTGATGCGAACAGCTGGAGTGGCGAGGAACAACTCAGACCTGGAAACGCTCTAAATATCTGCATGTTCGCCCCGAGTCTGACTACGTGTTCAATAATAAACGTTTGGATCGCTTGAATGGCGAATCAGTTTATCTTTACGACCTCCGATTCAACGGTCGGCGTTGCGGTTCGATTCATACTCATCCTCGGGAACGAGGGAGCGCGAGAGCTACTCTTTAACCGGAACTCGAAGGAAGGCCGACCACCATTAACGATTAAACTATTACGCGAAATGCTTGTATCGGGTGAACGACTCGGTTAGAGTGGCTGGTTTGCCGTTGCTTTTCTTCTTCTATTTCGATCGGCTTATCACAGAGTACGTGGAACGCGTTTTAAACTTTTTAAAAATCTAAAAAGCGTTCAAGTATTCACGCAGCTTTATTTTTAATGACGATGCTTGAGATGCATCGAGACGAGAAATTGTTTTCATTTTTTAAAAATTATAATCGTTCGTTCGTTCGCGAGGAGAAAATTTTAATTTGTTAAAGGATAAAATAAGTGGCATTAAATAGGCAGAAATTGTTTTGTAATTTTAACGAGTTTAGGAAGCTCGTACGAACGTTTTATATTTTGTATTTTCCCTTTAAATCACTTCTACCCTTTTTTTTCTTTCTCTTAAAATAATTCTTCTTCGTTCATATTTCTTTCGTTTATCCCAGCCAAGTTTTAAGGTCGAGGAGGATTTATTAACTCAGAATCCAGCAACAAGATTTCAACAAGAACGCAAATTCTATTCGAGCATCGATCCAAATTGAAAAATTGTATACGACTGCACGGAACAGATATCCACCAGATGTTATTAGCGTGTAAAGCAACGGTAAAAACACGTAGGTAGTTGGTTCGATGTCCAAGAGTCCAAGGACGGATTCCTTCGAAAATAAAAAAAAGAAGGAGAAGAAGAAGAGGAAGAAGACGAAAAAAATAGGAACTCGAATAGACGAAGAAATTCTTTCCAAACAGAAATTTCATCCGGAGAATCCATCGGTGTATAGGAAACGAATTCGAGGAAACGGATTCCGGAGCTAGAGGCAGAATACCGATAATCGATGACGGCCAAATAAATCCCATGACGATCGTGCTCGCGATTTCACGAATTCCACGATACTCCTTCCGATTTCTCGGCCTTCTATTCGCTGTAGCCTGCTGCTCACGGATCGACCAATTTCTAAACCGCTTTGTTGCGCAAGTCTCTATTTTTGTTCCGACCTGACAGCCTTATTTTCGCGTTTCTAAACGGGGTGAATCGAAAACAAGGAGACAACGTCGCCGAAATTTCATTCCCTTCGCCTATCAAGTATCGAGTTTTGGTTCAATTGGTTCGTGGGAAAAAATCAGGCTCGAAGCAATCGCAACTCATCGCTCGATTCGAAACGTTCAAAACGCTCCAATTTCCATCTCGTTAAACATATCGATCTATTAATAAAGAGACAACGATAGAACGACAAGAACGTCCACCTATTATTATCCAACTATTCCTGAAGTGAGGGGAAAAAAAAAAAAGAAAAAAATAGAAAACCTCGAAGGAGTAGAGCACGAGGAGAAGAGAGGGGAGGGGATGAAAACACGGCAAAAATGCGAGAGCCGCAAATAGATCGATAATTCATAGCGGGCGATATAAATCGGTGGGGTCGTACCCTCGCTGACAGGGACAGTTTGTTTTTCCATCCTAGTTCCACACCACGTTCGAAAAGATGGTCAAAGGAAAATGATGGTCGCGCGTCGTCACCATTTGCTTGTCGTCTAAATGGTGGCCACGATGCCGCTACTCCTTCATCTATCCCCGCGATATTATTACACCCGCGATTATTTTCGTCGTCGTCGTCGAAAGTTTCGTACGCGTACGCGCACACGAGGACGAGGATAACGTTGGGGATCAATTTGTTAAAAGGATCGAACGAACGGGGAATCGGGCCGTGTGTATTTTAATTACTTTGCCCGATATTTTCAATATTCTACGCGTATGGACGTGGTCGTTAATTGGATCCATTTGTTCCCTTTTTGAAGATCCGATTACGAGTACGGGTACTGGGTTTTCGGATATTTCTCGCGGTTACGCTTTCGCTCTGCCTCCCCCACTTGTGTCATTATTCTCCGCAATTTCCATCCTCCCCGCTTCGTTACGGCTCCGCCTCGTTATCCGGATCGATCCCGGGGATCGACTTGGTCGATACGAGATCTCGAACGAGGTTACTATCCTCCAACATCTGTTCCTACGTTCCAACTGTTTCCTCTCGCGAAACGATTTGATTATCGTTGATTTGCCGCTCGCCGTTTCTCCGTCCTTTCGACGTTCGCTCTTTTCGATGACCTAATTTTTTCTTTCTTTCTTTCTTTCTTTCCTTTTTTCAACGTGCGTGCGTTTTTAACCGTACGAGATTATTACGAGTCGACGATCTTTCACGAATCGAATAATGGATTTTTGTTTTGGAACTTCGTTTAAATAACATATTGGTAAAAATTGGTAAAAAGCAAGTGCGGGATTTCGATCGATAATTATGTTCGTCGGGATTAATCGGAATTGCAAGACTCTCTTTTTTCCCGATTTCAATATAAATAATTGATAAACGTTTAAAATAAAAACGTTGAAAATTTTCTCACAATGTGATTGAATGTTACGACTAAATAAATTTGACACTAAAGAATCGCAATCATCCTCTTCCACCCCTTTCCTCGATCCATCACCTCAACCCATCATCATCTTTTAAAATGAAATTACACACTCGGCGATCGTCTCCCAAGTAATTTAGCAAAATAACCTTCGTCAAGCCAATTTTCCCCTAAGAGAAAAGTGTCGAAAATTGCCGGTTATTAATCTTTAACCACCCCGAATAATCGCAATCAAAAACACGTTCAATTTGCGCGCCCGACCACCATCCATCCAGAAAAAGGGTCACGAAACCGGCTTCCGTTCCTCCAGCATTCCCTTCCAACGATTTAATCGTTCTCATTTCCACCTTTGGGGGGCAGGAGAGGGAGGAGGAGCGCAACACGGTGAAAATCTGCAAGAAGCCGAACGGATCGAATAACGAAAGTCACGGCACGATCCCCCGAAATTACGGTAGATCACGTGAGCCCGTGGAAGCGAGAGGAAGGCGTGCATGCGTGCGTGCGTGTCTGGATCCGTGTCGGCGAGATCCCCCAGCAATTCCTAAGAACACCTATGAATATGAATAATACGAATCTCTCGAAGCAACGCATCGTTCGAGTTTTCGTGAACGCCGCCTTCCCTCCGGCCAATCCATTAAGTATACATATATATATATATATATATATATGTACGAAGCGGAGGGAAGCGCGGATAACTAGTTTCCCGGTAAATTGATACCGTTGGCGTTCGCCATTCTTTCGCGATGTTTTCATGCGCGTCTACCCTCACACGGCCGTTGCCTTTTTTCTCGATAGTTATAATCCAGCTGGACAATTACTCGGTCGATAAGTAATTGCACCCCTTATCGTGCAACCCGCTTGTAACTACGGGGAAAGAAAGTTTCGCTTCCTTTTTTCGTTTTTTCTTTTTTCGTATTTTCTTTGACCCGGCCCAGCTTGCTCGTGTGGAGAGAAATGGCGCGTCGAGTTATATTACTACGAAGGGAGGGGAAAAAACCTTCCGATTCGAGGAAACAGAGGGCGAGTTCCGATTTTACCGATCATCAATCCCGTTTCGGTAGAGCGGCCGATCCGTTGCGCTAAACGCTCTTTCATTCGCGCCTCTGTGCCGAGGATCGTTGCGCTTTTATCGAGCTCGCGCCGGCGGACGCGGACAAAAATGTCCCTGGTGTGCCATCCCTTCCGCCACCCCCTTGCGGTCACCCTCCGTGAACCGTGCGTCGCTGAACGAATAAAGAATACAGCTTCTCTCTCTCTCTCTCTCTCTCTCTCTCTTCTTTCTTTAACCACCCCGAATAATCGCAATCAAAAACACGTTCAATTTGCGCGCCCGACCACCATCCATCCAGAAAAAGGGTCACGAAACCGGCTTCCGTTCCTCCAGCATTCCCTTCCAACGATTTAATCGTTCTCATTTCCACCTTTGGGGGGCAGGAGAGGGAGGAGGAGCGCAACACGGTGAAAATCTGCAAGAAGCCGAACGGATCGAATAACGAAAGTCACGGCACGATCCCCCGAAATTACGGTAGATCACGTGAGCCCGTGGAAGCGAGAGGAAGGCGTGCATGCGTGCGTGCGTGTCTGGATCCGTGTCGGCGAGATCCCCCAGCAATTCCTAAGAACACCTATGAATATGAATAATACGAATCTCTCGAAGCAACGCATCGTTCGAGTTTTCGTGAACGCCGCCTTCCCTCCGGCCAATCCATTAAGTATACATATATATATATATATATATATATGTACGAAGCGGAGGGAAGCGCGGATAACTAGTTTCCCGGTAAATTGATACCGTTGGCGTTCGCCATTCTTTCGCGATGTTTTCATGCGCGTCTACCCTCACACGGCCGTTGCCTTTTTTCTCGATAGTTATAATCCAGCTGGACAATTACTCGGTCGATAAGTAATTGCACCCCTTATCGTGCAACCCGCTTGTAACTACGGGGAAAGAAAGTTTCGCTTCCTTTTTTCGTTTTTTCTTTTT